TATAACCACAAACTTGCAGTTTCGTTTAGGTTTTTATAATTTCTTTAGATAACTCGATTACTTGCAAACACTTTTTAATTATATTCTCATTAGGATTTTTTATAGATGGAAGTGAAATAAACAATGGAGCAGGTTTATTATCTAACTCGAAAAATCTGTCCATAGACGGCGAGCAAAATAACGGTTGAAAATATATTTGCCCGCTCCATCTTCGCCTAAGAGTAGCAAGACCTTTTAAAGAGCTTGTGGCATCTAGTTACCACTTCCCCTTTGGTTGGAACAAACTTTCTGACAGAATAAATTATATGTTGCATATACTTTATATGGAAGAATCATGTGCTTCTTCATTAGGGGCTACTTTATTAACCACCGATTTCATCATCTTTGGTTCACTAATTACCACAAGATTGCCATTACTCATTTTTAACTTCTGGATGTTGACCCCACTTGGTTTCATTTGACAAGAAATCTGCCCTAAGCGTTGGTACAGGCCTATTAAAAACCGTTGGTTCTTGTTATAAGGACTGACGAACAAACAGTTCGAGTTTACCAGCTGATTTTCTTGGATAAATACAGTATATCTATAAATCGTAGAGCCAAATACCAATGTCTTTTCTGTTCGAACTGCACTCGGATATTATTTACTTTTTCATTTAATGCTTGATCCATCTCATTTAATTCTTGAGCGCGACTTACGATTTCACAAACACCTTCAAATGCCTCTCTAAAATCTTTAAAGGTACAGTATCTAGTAATTTTAATGGGTCCCGATTTCTAACTGCGCTAACCATATTCATAGTTCCAATAGCTACTTTAAAAGTTCGACGTATCTTGCCATACCTTTTCGTCATTTGGGATATGCAACAATGCCTGAAAGGCGTAGTGGGCATGGTAAGCTAACGCCTGATTATCTTTTAGCACTTTTAACTGTAGATACAGTACAATGGCTCTACCCGAATCATGGCATCTAACATCTAGTTATGTAGTTCTAGACGAGTATGTAATATTCTTAATGTGGTTACTAGATTCCCTGTGCTAACCTCCCCGATAATTGAAAGCGAAATGTTGAATTTTTAATTTCCTGAATACTTATCTCTAACAAACCTTTATTCGGAATGGACCTTTTAAATTTCCTCTGATAGTCTCGTGAGTTAAATTCTTTAATTGTTGCATTTGTTCCGGTGTGTGGTTTTCGGAACCTTGCATTTTTCTAGACGAATCTTACCCTCTTTGTAATGCTTATAAAACATGGTTTTTTTGGAATAAGTCGACTCTCAGTAAATGATCCGTTACGCAACCTCCTGATCCGCTTATTATGTTCTGTTTTACAGTACGACCAAAATTTCAGATTTTGAATTTAATGTCTTTGGTACTGTACTGTATATACCGTATGAACAAAGTTATGCGTTAATTTGTAAATAATAAATTATATACCGTATGAACAAAGTTATGCGTTAATTTGCAAATAATAAATTATGATTAACAAGATCTTTTGGTTATATCGTCATTCTAGAGCTTAATTTCAAATATCTGATAATTATTGGTTCTTTCTAAAACAATTTTCAAATACAATTAATTTGTGTGAACGAGTTTTTTAAGCTCGTACTTAAGGTATATGCGGCATACGTATTGTCATCAACACTGCACTAACGCAAGATAATAAACATTACATTCTATTTTGTTTGTTAAGATTACCGATAATCTTATCTTATGCTTCATTTTCTATCATAATAATAATAATATTTTATTATTTTATTATTATTATTATTATTTTATTATTATTATTATTATTTTATCATTATTATTATTATTTTATCATTAAATTTTCTTCTAGGAAATTAAATATCACAATAACTTTTCTACACTTAAAATGACCGAATGAAATCGAGATCATGTGCCATTAATTAATTATATTTAAACCGAAATAGATAAATAAATAAATAAATAAATAAAATAAATAAAATAAAATAAATAAATAGGAAGGTGTACAGAGATATACTGTATGCATGTATAATTGATTTTATTAATTGATTTTTTTTTATTAATTATTAATAATATACCACGACCACATGATCGTTTATCATACCAAAAAATCTTTTTCGAACTCGCAATCTTTTGACAACTCGCAGTCTTCTTTTTTCCTTAATATTCTTGCGACGATACAGTATATTAACCTTTTTTCGATTTATCCCATTTTTTTAATCGGAATTTACAAAGACATGTGACTGAGCGCTAGCACATCAAACGATACCATACATGGTAAATCGGGGCATATGTGATATAAGGCATATCATAAAATGGTTAAGCGAAGTTCTTGGCATAAAAAAAAAAAAAATGCAATTTATACTATATATGAAAAAAAAGCAAACGCAGTTTATACTATATATGAAAAAAAGAAATCGATTTCAAAGGTATCGTATCTAGGATGAATATAAAGGGTTAACTTGTGTTTTTCGAATGTTTAAGCTTACAAAAGTGTGTTAACAATCGATGCGTGTTAGAGATATAAGATTATATAGTGTTGTCGACAATACTGCACTTTACATACGTAAAATACATGCATCACATCCGTACAATACATGCATCACATCCGTATATACAGTATACTGTATATATTATTCTGTCAATAATTATGAAGAGAAGATCGAGCAGCAACCTTGGCAAGTGGTCAGCACTGATGATGAATCATCGGATAAACCGATGCTCGATGAACCAATAAATCAATCCAGTGAAATTAATCTCGTTCATTAGTAATAAAAGTTTGGATTATTAATAATAAAAGTTTGAATCATTAGTAAAAAATCTTGCTCATTAGTAATGAGATTAGTTCATGATTAGTAAAAAATTTTGTCCACTGGTAAACAAAAATTTTTTGTTCTTAATACACTGTATGTTTCGTGTCATCATTTTTAAAATAAAGATGGTTAAATTGAAATTTACTAGTTTTTATTATCACAAGATCGGGGATCATGTTTTTCGTGCGGCGACTTACCATGATCTAATATCGCCCAAAGAATTCTATTGTTTATCACGTGTTTTTAATTGATGCGGAATTTTCAAGACGTGACATAAGATCATAACACGAAAATTAACAATCGAATTTCGAAGGTAGAGGTCATACGCGAAGTTTTGAATTCTGACCCTGTCGCATATTATCAACCACCACTCAACTCTTTCGATTATGTTAACCGCTTTCAGAGTCCAATGAAAAGTAACACCTTCCTTTGTTGATCTGGACACACGGCGATTTCCGTTTCAGAACATAAGATGATTTCTAAGGAGAACAAAGAATTCCAAATAATAGGAATGCAATAATCTCTACAATTTTCTTTTATCTTTTCTTTTTTATTATTATTTTAATTTATGCAGTAATAAAGGTACTTGGATTTGAGGCAATAATGCCTAAAGTGGAATACACACACCGAGCTTTGTATCACGAGAAATACTGTGTGCAATTTCATTTATACATGCGGACAAATAAGGTCCAATCGTCGCTTAAACAAACGTTTTTTTTTTTGTTTTTGTTTTTTTATTGGTAAATTAAAAAAAGTCATATACAGTATGCTATATTGTTAAGAATTTTTTTCTTTTTACGGCAAACCAAAAATCCACTATAATAGAGACTGAAGCACGTTCAGTAAGAAGGCACACATGAAAAATTGATGACAGATGCAGTTTAATTAATTACCAACAAAAACTCATGGTTTTTGATTGTAATGACATGACATTCGGCCGATACGATCAAATGACCTCTATGAAGTCAAAATCCAAGTCGACCAGATAAGGAAGGTTGTAGAAAAAAAAAGCACAAGTAAATAGGAATGCTTCTTCCAAGATCAAAAAATCCACTTCGAATAATCTTTAGATGCAAGTATAAATTAAATCAATTTAATTTCGTCAGACGTCGGAGAATCCTGGGAACCCGGAATCGGAAAATGAAATGAAATTTAGGATCGGTAACTCTGTAGATCCAAAGCTCGTTTTTGCGGGTGGCGTAGAAGGTGCTCGAATTTCTTTTGAATCACAGTGATACAAGAAATGAATATGCACACACGAATAAATTAATAAAAAATTGACAGAAGAATTTAATCATGTCATGTTAATTGGAATAAACATAAACGAATGGTGGTGTTTCATCGCATCTCTGATTGAAACTTGGAATTTGATTTACAGTATAATAATCCTTCAAAGATTATCGTAAGATTGAATCATGAAGTGTTCAAATATTATGGCGCCATATTGATATGGACAACAACAAAGTATTCCTAAAATAGTGGTTAAAAAACCATTTTTTAGAAATCCATGACAAATAAATATAACGTTTCATCAAACGGATTTAAATTTTTGGAAAGATTGTGTCTTAAAGTAGTAAACATTTGGGTCAAGAGATTAAACAAGAAAATAAAACATCGGAATAATCAATTGGTATCCCATTTGACACGTAAACAACTAGTGTGCTTCTCTCGGATTCCCTGGTTCAGTATTTAATCAGCACACGCACAAATAATATATAATACATTATGCGTGGCTTATAATCATACCACTTATACAAGGGCTCGTGTGTCCATTCGTGTTTAATATTGTATTTTTGAGTTGGACTTCGTACGATGTATAGTCGGATTTCTTGGTGTGATGTTTTAAAGTTCTCCCGACTATACGTTGCAATCAAAATACGCGAACGCAAATCATCTCACACCAAGTCACGTATCACGAGTATTATCACGTGAACAATCGGTCGAAGGGTAAGGAGGGAAGCTTTAAATTTTACCGATCGATCATGTCGCGAGATTGAATTTGCCTAATGATAATGGATAGAATGCGCATCATTTCTTATATAGATGACACTTCGTGCAAACTTCCGTGACCTCAATTTTATCCGTACGCTCTGAATCATCACATCAATACTCACCATCACTTGTTGGAACCTGAGGTTTTGTCACGGGCAGATAAAATTTCATTGTAGTGAATGGCGTTATACTGTATCTATAATTTCGCCACGATCACCTTGTCCTCAATCTTCTACTTATGATGGCCGTAGAGGAGAAAACGTCAGAACCAATGAGTTCGACGAAATGATCTGCCAAAAGTGTGAGCATACCGACGTTAGCTTGACACGCGATCTGCTCGCTCGATAGATCATAAATCGCACCGCCATATCTCAGCTAAAATAACCGAACGGTTGATGGGTCTACCGACTGACGAAAACTTTCGCCAACGCACCCTTGAAAAGGTGATCGGAATTAATAGTGTCCCTTGTGTCTCATGCGAATCAAAATAAAATTCGGTCGGAAAAACAAAACCTAATTCGACTTCTTAACCTTATCAAGAGTATTGTTTATTTTTATCCGACCTGTTAACCATCAGGTAGACATGTGTGAAGTGCAAAAAAAAAATAGTAATTTTCTTCCCTGGTGCAGATTAGCTTTATTCGACAAATATGGTAGGAGACGCCAAAATGGAAGTAAACATACAGTATATTATTTATTCATAACAAACACACGAATAATTAATTATGTTGTTACATTTGTATGTCTGGTCGTCTGGCTTCACGAGATTTCCGTTGAAAAAAAAAAAGAATATGTTCAATTATTGTGGAATAATAATACTATGCGAAGGTGATGAAATTACATAAACCGCGTGTGTGTGTGTGAGTTACTTTTACAGAGTTTCTCGGAAATTTTTATCAAAACGAAGATCCCAGGGTGACTGTACGCAGGTACATCATCAACTTGGGAACAAGTTTGATGTTGTATGTACACAGGTTCTATTGTTATTATTTATTAAATGAAAAAAAATCATGGCTTTTTTAAACAAACAATGATTTAAAATAACTTTTTTATCTTGATTGTGTGAATATAAGGCTAAATTTTTAATATTACCTATGGAGAGACGCGGGTAACAATTTTTGCATGGGGCAAGGCAAAAATGTCGATGCACCAAAACTTTCTTAAAATAGATCGGTGATTCTTGGATTTCCGACAAACTAGAGAATAATTATCCTTGGGTTTCCCCACTACGCACTACACGCACCCGAATAATTAATATCGGAAATTTGTGTGATATACAAAAAAACAAACTACATAGTGAAGCACGACCGAGAACCTTAAACATCAAGAAAACACCGTTAGTGGAACGGAAGACTTTCACAGCGTCTCACAATGAAAGTCAAAATATAAATTTAATCTGTCAAACAAGTGCGTTCGGATTAAGGTTTTATCCGTTATCAATTTTTAAGCGACTAATCATATTTTTATTATTATTAATTTGTGTGATTCACACATCAGTCTTTTATCACCAAACATGCACTGTCATTGATGCTCCTAGAAGTTTTTCCCTCGGCTGTTTGACTCTATCGAACTTTTCACCACCAACTCGGGGCAATTCTGTAGGGATGTTCACAATGAACGTTTTTCTTTGTAATTAAAGATGATCTCCATGCACCGACACACAAAAAATATTTATTATTTTAAAAAACACTTTACATAAGCAAACGAAGTTGTTAGATATACACCACTGATGCGCTTTCGTACTGAATATTCTCATATCACCTGGTCAGTATTGTGCAGATCGGAATTTTGACATAGAGAATTATTTATCCAAAGGATTAGACATGATATCTGGATAAAAACAAATATAAAAGCTTCCCATTCTTAAGTTCAGGTTCCATCTGAGGAGATTTTTGCTTTTCCTCTTTAGACACCCTTTTCTCATAACTTTCATTCATCCTTCCAACTAGAGAAAAGTTCGTTTCCCTCTTGGTGGGTTACCGCGGACGTGAATTTTGTTGTATTTTTTTCAGAGATACTCTAAAATTGGCGATGGTAACCCCTTATTAGTTAATTCCTGATGTCTCTCTTTTATGTACAAACTTCATTCTTTTACTTCTTTTTTGTCTTTTTTCCTTCCTCTGTCTCCCATAATAAACACCTCATTTCTTTTTTTCAACATCAATTTCATCATCACACAGCTCATCGGCATTTATTAGGTCCGATATACAAGCTGCACTGCCGACGGATGGTCCAGTAACGCCGCATCGGACCAAATCTTGGTCAAAAAAAGCCACTGTCGCACGCGGGTCCTCGGCACCACGCCTCTTTTTGTCTCCTTGGATTCATAATTTCAATCAAGTATCGGAAAAAAAAAAAATCGTGTTCAACCCATCGTCAAAAAATCAATGAGAATAAGAATATCATCATCTCCTTGGGAATAATAATTAACCACATGTTTATATCACACCTACCAAATCTTTCGTCATCGTCTACACAAAATATACCCTCTCTTACGTCATTGCACATCCGCTTATGAAATTCCTATCTGAACTTAACCGCTTTCACCCGGTTATTTGATCATTTTTTCATCTTATTCATTATATCGATGGACCAACATACTTAACATACTTGAAAAATCTGGTTTCTATTTATAATGTTTACCACCCAATATCGGATCTCGATTTCATTATTATGGATTGAATCATTTAGTATCATAATTCATGCATTGGTACGATCGGTGCTCATGATTCCGTGCACCACGATTGGCTTTTGCATGCACCACATATTAAATTATAAAATACCTACCGTCGTCTCTCCTGCCTTTTTTTTTCTTTCTTTCCTTCTTTCTTTCCCTTTACACACTTTTTCCTCCTTGATATAATAATTCATACCTTCGAAGCAAATCAAAAAATTTTTACTTTTCTATCATCAGTCAAAAAAAAAAAATTCTCTTTTTTCTCAAACCAGGTGTATAAACAAATCTTCTGTAATAAAAACCCAATCTAAAAACAAAAAAACAAAAAATTACTTTTGAATAGATCGTAAAAGGAGTTTCGCTCGAAGATAAACCGAACGTTCGTAAATGTTTCCCTTCTGTCACAAGTTTTATTATGATTCAACAGGCTGACTCCTTTTTCTCTGCTTTCTTTCTTTTTTTTTTTTTTCAAACAACCCTCTTTAGTGCAAATAATATCAAAAAAAAAAAAAAATCAGAAAAATGACAGATTCCGAATACGACAGTAGGACTAATATCTTTGCTGATTCGCGTACTTATTACAGTACTGGAGACCACAGCCTCACCGATTCAAACGTCAGGCAGTACAGGAGTTTCGCGGTATGCATGGTGACTTTGTTGTGATCGTTCTTGACCTTGGTTAAACTTTTTTTTTTTTTTTTTTTTGCAGATGTCCAAAACATCTAGTCCAAAAGCTGGAACGGGCGAAAAGGATGTGCGCAAGAGACGAGCATCACATGGTATAGTATTTTTCAAACATCATTCATTTTCTCCTTTTTTTTTTTCTTTCGTGATTTCGGGAGTCGGTTTGCGATCTCTGGGGGGGGTGCGGGTTATACATGTATCTAAGGAAAATGAGGATTTTAAACATCAATATTGGTCACCGTCGGCAGAGTTTCTCCACGACCGATCACCCAACTACACCATCTCCGAGCATTGAACGATGAAACCACCGAAAAATTTCGTTTCCTCGATCGATCGACCCTTCGATTTTCTCTTACCATGCAAACTTCGTTCAACCAACCAACCAACCCTCGTCTCCTCCCGCAAGTCGTTTTCCATCTATCACGCGTACAATTATCACATTACACATTTCTAGAATTAGCGAAAGGATTCTAAAGCACGCACGCACAAACTTCCTTATCTTAAAGTGTCTCTTGTCATTCTGCAAATCAGTTCCTAACTAACGAACTTTGGTGTTTGAATTTTTTTAGATGAGAAGACAAATCGACCTCGCAAATTCATAATAGACGTGGAGGAGACGAAGCGGATCTTACTAGAGCAAGAAGATACAAACGGTGACAGTCAAATCACCATTCAGGATTTGGGCCCCAAAACCTTGACCGTCGGCACAGCCAGTTCGGGTGGTCACAGGAAGTTTGAGATTCGCGGTACTTACATGTTAAGCAATCTTTTGCAAGAGTTGGCATTGGCCGAAGGTTACGGACGTAAGCATGTGGTCCTGGATGAAGCTCGATTAAATGAGAATCCGGTGGATCGTTTGTCTCGCATGATCAAAAACCTTTTCTGGGATGGGCTGACCAGGAAGATTGATGCCGAAGGGTTGGAGGTGATTTGCGCCGATCCGAAAAACAGAACTGCCGATCATTCGCCGAGGATCTATATTCCCCATGGTGAAGATGAAATATACGAGTATTATAAAGGCGTCGCGGAAACTCGACCTCATCTGAAGTTGGAAGTGGAAAAACTTCCGAAAGACATCACCCCCGAATATGTGAAAAGCATCAACGATCGACCCGGTATTCTCTCTTTGGCAATGCAAAAAACTGTTGACGACAAAGGCAATGTCACCTTCAAGGGCGTCCCTTTTGTTGTGCCCGGAGGTCGATTTAACGAAATGTATGGATGGGACTCGTACTTTGAAACACT